TTCCACTCCGCTGGGCCTGCAGGTAGGACAGGCTGGAGGGAAAACCCGGCATGGATCAGGGCATGCTTCGGAGCTGGAGCGGCTCCAGATGGTTTCAAATAGAACGAACGGCGCCACCCTGCTGTGCTGCACTGCATTACATTATTATGCATGGAGCTTAAAACTATTAACTGTAAAGTTCTTGATTTCATTCATAATAAAAATACAAATCCCAGCAGGAGCAGCTTCCTGAGCTCGCTGCAGGGGGCGCCGCTTCCACAGCTACACTGGGTTATTTATCCTGTCATAAAAGAAGGAAATGGGTCATATTCATTCATTCATTCATTCATTCATTCATTCATTCATCCATTCATTCATTCATAAATGGTTCAAACTAACTACTTCATTGGCAAACAAAATATTTAGCATCAATCTAAATATTAAATCTGTGATTCCACAGTATTTGGCTAAATATGAGGTAAACATTTAGCATGAAGCTAAATAATCAGCTGATCTGATTTTCACCATGTCATTTCCTGAGTGAAATGCTGTCGGTTTCCTGTGAGTGTACCCAAACGCCTCGCTGTACTCTGATACCGGTCGGATCCGATCCCGCCCACCAGTGGTTAGCGGACCTATGATAGGTCTGTCTTGTTTCTGGGTCAACCGGGTTCTGGTGAGGTCCAGATTCTGACCTGCTGGGTTTCTGTCTCTCCAGAGTGTCCCTGTAAGATCAACCGGGTACTGAGCCACCCCACGCGGCGATCACGTCACTGCCCAGGAGGACCGCCACATCCAGTTCTTCGACAACAACACAGGTGGGAGCGCCCCTGCTGGTCCTGCCCCTGGTCCCGGTCCTCCTAACCGGGTTCTGTGTTCCTCAAGGAAAACCGATCCACTCCATGGTGGCGCACCTGGACGCGGTCACCTGCCTGTCTGTGGACCCGAATGGGCTCTACCTGATATCAGGAAGTGAGTAACACTCGGCTCGGAGTCACTCCAGAACAAACGTTCCCCCCTCAGAGCACACCCCCCCCCCCCCCCCCCTCAGAGCACCAACCCCCCCCCCCCCCCTCAGAGCACTGACCCCCCCACCCCCCCCCCCCCCCACCCCCTCAGAGCACCGACCCCCCTTCCACTGATTCCTTTTAAAATAAGAAAATAAACAGTTTTTAGCCTTAATGCAGTAACAGCATTCTTTAGTGAATCTTCACCAATCAACAGAGTTTGTCATATAAAGATGTTTCCATCTTAAATGTAAAGTATTTATATTTATTGTTCAGGTTTGTCTTCATTTCTGCTCCAGTTATCAATGAATCGGGGACTAAATGAATCAGATTCCATGGTTTCGGCGTTAGTGGGGTGCTTTTCCCAGGATGCAGCTCCTGCTTCCTGAGGAACTGAAATATTCCCAGGAATGTTCTGCATCCTGATTGGCTGTCTCCCTGCCAGGCCATGACTGCTCCATCCGGCTGTGGAACATGGAGAGCAAGACCTGCATCCAGGAATTCACCGCCCACCGGAAGAAGTTTGACGAGTCCATCCACGATGTGGCGTTCCATCCCACCAAGTGCTACATCGGCACCGCCGGCGCCGACGCGCTCGCCAAGGTCTTCGTATGATCCGGATCCGCAGGGGCCGCCGCCACGCTGACCCGATTGGACCCGGCTGGACCGGACCAGAGCCGGGCCGGCCGCGTCCCGCCCCGACTCCGAGGGAACCGGCAGGAACCGGAAGCAGCTTTTGCTCTGATCCCGGTGCGGCGTTCCGCCGCTGGGATTTCTCTGTGTTTATGACGTGCCTTTTTCCTCAGAGCAGACGTTCCTTTAGCCGTTCACCGGCAGAACCCGGCCAGAACCATGAGCAGAACCCAACGCGTCCAGGTTCGGCCCGGCGGTCCGGTTCTGCCCCCTGCAGGCCGACCGGAGAGTTTTTCTTGGAAGGTTCATTCCAGTTTGTTTCAGGACTTTTCTCTCTGTCAGTCGTGTCGGTTCTCCTGGAGTTCTGGACCCGGTTCTGATCCCGGTTCCAGGCGGCCTGTCGGACTTGGAGAGGAAGAGGAAGTCCTGCGGCAACGCTCAGATTCTTATTGCTTCTGTTGATTCCTGTCCGGCTGAGCGGGCGGGTCGGTGTCAGATGTTCTGGTTCTGTTGGTTCTGGTTGGTTTTCTACATTTGTTCCTGCTGGGATGTTTCTGGACTCGTTACTCTGGGAAGCAGCAGCTGCCCGTTGGTGAGGAACGCCGGTGTAGACGTCGGAAACAGGAAGTGTACAGCATCTGGAGGAAACGGGACCTGAAGGGAATCTTTACGGATGTTTTCTTCTTCCTGATCCTGAAAGAAAAGTTCAGCTCTTCGGGTTCCTGAGGTTCGTTCCTCAGTTTTATCTGTTCAACTTTAAGTTTCCAGAACATTTTCCAAGCTGGATCAGCTGATTGTTCCTGAGGCAACAGGCTATAAAAATCTGCAGCCGATTATCGGATCACATTCCCACCAGAATCCGATGTCGGTGGAATTTCTGGAAATCCGGTCCGGTTCATCTCTGAGCCGATCGGTCCAGTTAGGAGATAAAAACCAGGAATCCTGCAGACGAGTCTGGAAAAAACAGAAAAAGGCAGCGTTTTTTTTTTTTCGCTGTGGAAACAGGAACCAGAGGTGTAAAAAGTGTGGCCGGGGCCATTTGTGACCCGCTGGACTGTGTTTTGGGGCCGTCCTGAACAACTGGGAAATGTTTGATTAGGATGAAATTATTTATTAAGTTCTTAAAATGATCTTCCAGAAATCAGATCAACCTGCTAACCTCCACTCTGAATCTGATCTGATTTAATCTTGTGGATTAAACAGCTGCTCTTACTGCTGGAAACAGATTTCTAGAAAATGAGTCGATTTATTTCAGTTTAGCTTGAAAGAACCGGATGCCGGCTGACACAGTCGCCCGAACCCTGGCAGGAAGTGAGATCAGCTGGCAGGAAGTGAGATCAGCTGGCAGGAAATGAGATCAGCTGGCAGGGAAGTGAGATCAGCTGGCAGGAAATTAAATCAGCTGGCAGGAAGTGAGATCAGCTGGCAGGAAGTGAGATCAGCTGGCAGGAAATGAGATCAGCTGGCAGGAAGTGAGATCAGCTGGCAGGAAGTGAGATCAGCTGGCAGGAAATGAGATCAGCTGGCAGGAAGTGAGGCGGAGCGCCGAAAGCCTCCGGCCAGCAGGTCGGATCGGACCGACCTGCGCATCCATCTCTCTTCCCAGAACTCTGTTGTTGATCATTAGCAGATGTTTAATGTACTGCGGAGCAGAAAGCTGACGTCGTTGTTCCTCCCTACATCCAGCAGGTGGCGCATGTGGCTACAATCTATGGCCACAGGCTCAGCCTCTAAAACGTGTGTCCAACTGAAGGCCCGGGGGCCAAATACGGCCCGTCGTAGCTTTTTATGTGGCCCTCTTCAGTCTAGAGTCTAGACTAAACACTAAGTGTAATTAAATATTATATTATCAATCCTATCAATGCAGTTTTTATCTGTTTACTACCAATTTGTATCAATCAGTCCGTCCAGTTTCTTGAGAATTTAGTTGATGTTTGATTATAGTCCATGATTTATACAGCGAGTAAATAAACAGTTGCATTTATAATTAGTTCCTGAAAGGACTGAAAAGATCTTCAATAATATTATGTAATTTTAAGAATTCATTGAATTCAGTTTGTGAAGAGGTTTTATCAACACATTCTGGCACAACCGGCCCTTTAAGAGCCTTCATGATCTTGATTTGGCCCAAAATGAAAATGAGTTTGACACACCCGAAGGAAACAAACACACACAGTACAACACTTTGATTCCATTGGCTGAGAGGTTGCTAGACGACTGTGCCAAATGGCATTTTTGTAAGCAAGCAGAGACGAAGTGTGAGCGCGACAAATTCAGAGGAAAAGCTTTACAAGTTTTGAGAAGAAAGAAATTCTACTTTCAAAATGAACTGAACATGTGTACTCTTGAGTTATGGCAGGAACAGATCCCCATATATGATCATTTTCACACATTTTTAGACATTTGCCTCATCTGGCTCCTTCTGCTGCAGAATTATGACGCATGTCTCACGGCGATGATGTAAAAGTTGGATAAAATGCGACATGATCGATCGGGCTGCAGACGCTCTGAAAACCGTCGGATACGATTCAGTTCCACGTCTGGAAGTGGGGCGAATCAGAACCTGTTGAGACTGATGTGGGTCGCATCCGGTTGCTCATTAAAGGTCAAAGGTCCTCCCCACTATTCCTACCATTCTGTCTCTGGAGCTTTCCCAAATAAAATTCCTCAAAGTTTAGAAATTTGAAAAATTTTCCAAAAATGACGTCAATAAGGAGCTCAGGATTTCTGAGGAAACAGGACTGACCCCTGCTGACCTTTGCTGTCCTCTGTTGACCCCTGCTGTCCTGTGCTGTCCTGTGCTGATCTTTATCAATCTGTAGCCATAAAACCAGCAGCTGATGGCAGTTTCAGGCTCCTGATCCGTCAGATGGTTCTGGACGGGCTGCTGCTGCACAGGAAGTGATGTCATCAGAGAAGCACTTCCTGTTTCTTCTGATTGATTCACTGATGATCAACACAAATATTCTGAAAAGTCCAAATCAAGACGTGGCACAGAACTTTTTTCGGTCAACCTTCTTTGACACAGGAAGAATCTCCTGCAGATTCCCAAAACTTTTGGTTTGGATAAATTTGGGATGAGGATGTGACGGAATATTTTCAGAAAAAAACGGGATTTCTTTCCGTTTCCCAGCTGTGATCTGGTCCTCCTCCAGACGGGTCGCTCTGGAACGTGATTTCCGGTCCGGTCCGGTTCGGTCCGGTGCGGTCCGGTTCGGTGCGGTCCGGTCCATCATGGGTTCAAGAGTCCGGAGATCAGTCGGACCTTCAGGAACCAAATAAAACCTCAGGAACATTCAGCTGACCCAGATTCTCAGGCCAAGAACCAAACTTCAGACATGGTTCTGGTTCTGGTTCTGGCTGTAAATCCTCCTCCTTTGGTTTGTACTGGTGACCCGCTGTGGCCGAGCTGCTGCTCATGTGTTGCTTTCTTTTTCTCAAATATCACTAACAATAAAGGAGATGTTGAATGTCAGAAATTCTGGTTCCGGATGTTTTTACAGTTGGACCAGGAAGCAGAGGCGTTTCCAACCAAACTCATTTTAATTTAATAACAACGCCACTGCTTTTCATGTCAAACTGAATAAAAACTGAAATGTCGCTTTATTTGGGGACGTCCTTCTGGGGCCGGTTTGGTTGGGCTTTCAGATCCGGCCGGACTTCCTCCAGAACCTTCTGGGTGGCTCTGAAGGGAAACTGGAACGGCAAGATGCCGGCGGCCTCCAGGTCGCCCTTCAGACTGCACAGCAGCTGTTCATACTCCTGCAGGACGGAGAAGCGGGACGTCAGAGACACGCGGGACATCAGAAACAAGCGGGAGGCTGCAGGTAGACTGACCTGGGCGCCCTGGTCCAGGTCCAGCTGCAGAGCCTCCATGGCGGTCCGTTTGGACTCCAGAATCTCCTGGAAACAGGTTTCAGACTCAGATAATCCCAGGAGAACCGGGATTCTCCTTCACTTCCTGAAAGCTGCTGGTTAGCATCAGAACCTGGAATTAGGCCATTCTGCTAGCTTATGTAGCAACATGCTAACTAGCTTCTAGCTACCTTAGCTTAAGGTTTTACTCTATGTTTTCTACTGAGGAGTTTCTCAACTATTATGAACCTGGTAGCGACTCTGATGTCATCAGTTCAGTTGTTGCTAAGCTAACAAACACTCTGTGATGTCATCAGCTCAGTTGCTAAGCTAACAAACACTCTGTGATGTCATTGGCTCAGTTGCTAAGCTAACAAACACTGTGATGTCATCAGCTCAGTTGCTAAGCTAACAAACACTGATGTCATCAGCTCAGTTGCTAAGCTAACAAACACTCTGCAATGCCATCAGTTCGGTTGCTAAGCTACCAAACACTGTGATGTCATCGGTTCAGTTGCTAAGCTAACAAACACTCTGTGATGTCAGCGGCTGAGTTGTTGCTAAGCTAACAAACACTCTGTGATGTCATCAGTTCAGTTGTTGCTAAGCTAACAAACACTCTGTGATGTCATCAGTTCAGTTGCTAAGCTAACAAACACTCTGATGATGTCATTAGTTCAGTTGCTAAGCTAACAAACACTCTGTGATGTCATCGGCTGAGTTGCTAAGCTAACAAACACTCTGTGATGTCATCGGCTGAGTTGTTGCTAAGCTAACAAACACTGTGATGTCATCGGCTGAGTTGTTGCTAAGCTAACAAACACTCTGTGATGTCATCGGCTCAGTTGTTGCTAAGCTAACGAACTCCTGCTGCTGTGCCTCCAACATTCCAGAGAAACCAGAATGATGAGTTCAGTGAGGAGGATGAAGATTTCTCTTCTGCCAGACCTTCTCCTCTCCTGCAGGGCGGATTCTAACTTTGAGTTCACAGGAAGCTGAAGAAGCCTGCTGCAGACAGGAAGTACTGAGAGTAGAAATACTTCAACATGGTTTTGCTCCAGTGAAAGTCAAATCTCATACAGCTGACTGAACAACCGTCTGGTTTCCTTCAGGATGAATCAGCTGCTCCTGAGTTAAACTCCTCCTGGTGTTTAACTGCCGGTCAGAAGTTCTGGTGCTGCCCAGCGGAGCGGCCCTCCGGCCTCTTACCTGCAGCTTGTAGGCGGCGCTGCTGCGCGCCGTGGGCTCCACGCTGCAGACGGACAGCGCGGCGCTCAGCTGCGCCTCCTTCTTCTCCAGAGTCTGGCTCAGCGCCTCCAGCTTCCTCTGCAGCAGGATCTTCTTAAGGCCGCTCCTCTGCTGGACGTCCAGGATGCTCTGCGTCTGCCTCCTCAGCAGCTCGTCACGCTCCTGCTGCACCTGCGGGGAACACCTGGAGGGGTCGGCAGGGAGGAGCAGAGAGCGAGGAGTGTGAGGAGGGAGGGAGAGGTTTACCTTCTGGAAGGCCTGCAGCAGCAGCTCGTGTTCCACCGTCAGGTCTCTGAGCTCCTGATCAACCAGCTTCTGCTGAGCTCGGTACTCCTGCTCACACACCATCATCGTCACCATCGGCGCTGAGCAGCTTCCAGGTGTTGGCTCCGCCCCCTTACCTCCATCCTCTGCTTGGAGTGCTGGTGCTCCTGTAGCCGTCTGTGCAGCTCCGGCAGCTTCTGCTGGACCTCCTGCAGCGTCGTCTTCAGATGCTGGTTCTCCTGCTCAGCTGCTGAGATCTTCTTCTCCCACCGCAGCTTCTGGTTCTGCAGCTTCTTCAGCTCGCCCTGGAGCAGAGAGGGAGGGCTCAGGGGACCCAGTGGGATAAACTCCAGAGGATCCAGTGGGATCTACTCCAGAGGATCCAGTGGGATCTACTCCAGAGGATCCAGTGGGATTACTCCAGAGGATCCAGTGGGATCTACTCCAGAGGGATCTACTCCAGAGGATCCAGTGGGATCTACTCCAGACAATCCAGTGGGATCTACTCCAGAGGATCCAGAGGGATCTACTCCAGAGGGGATCTACTACTCCAGAGGATCCAGTGGAATCTACTCCAGACAATCCAGTGGGATCTACTCCAGAGGATCCAGTGGGATCTACTCCAGACAATCCAGTGGGATCTACTCCAGAGGATCCAGTGGGATCTACTCCAGAGGATCCAGTGGGATCTACTCCAGAGGATCCAGTGGGATTTACTCCAGAGGGATCTACTCCAGAGGATCCAGTGGGATCTACTCCAGACAATCCAGTGGGATCTACTCCAGAGGATCCAGAGGGATCTACTCCAGACAATCCAGTGGGATCTACTCCAGAGGATCCAGAGGGATCTACTCCAGACAATCCAGTGGGATCTACTCCAGAGGATCCAGTGGGATCTACTCCAGAGGATCCAGTGGGATCTACTCCAGACAATCCAGTGGGATCTACTCCAGACAATCCAGTGGGATCTACTCCAGAGGATCCAGGGGATCTACTCCAGACAATCCAGTGGGATCTACTCCAGAGGATCCAGTGGGATCTACTCCAGAGGATCCAGTGGGATTTACTCCAGAGGATCTACTCCAGAGGATCCAGTGGGATCTACTCCAGACAATCCAGTGGGATCTACTCCAGAGGATCCAGAGGGATCTACTCCAGTGGACCCAGTGGGATCTACTTGGGTAGATCCCAGAGGGACCAACTAAAGACACCAGAGGCAGCACTACGATGGTTCATCTACCTTCCAGGTGTGCTGCTCGTAGTGCTTTGTGTCCAGGAATTCCTCAAACGTCCCTTCTGTCCGTTCTCTCCTGTTGTCGTGTTCCTTGTTCAGGGACACCAGGTGACATTTCTTGAAGGTGTCGATCTCCGTCAGAGCGTTCATCAGCTTCCTCTGGAACATCTCTGCCAGGGACCGTATGGTGACCAGCTTCTGCACCTCCAGCACTGAACAGGAACGATGAGGAAGACCAGGAAGGAAACCCGGGAGGAAGCACCGAGCTGCACTCACCTTGCATCCGGCGCTCAAACTCTCCGCCGAGCCTCATCAGCTCCCTCTGGTGGTTCTGGGGAGGAAGAGCAGGCATGAGACGGAAGCCAAAGCTTGAAGCCGGAGCAGAGGATCGTCTTCTCACCAGCTTCAGCATCTTGATGGAGGCGTGCTCCTGGAGCCTCTTCTCTCTGTTGTCCATTTGCAGATCCCGGAGCTGCCGGCGCAGATCCAGCTCCACGTCCGTGCTCTGCTTCTGCTGCAGTGAGCGGCACGTCACGGCGTCCGTCTTCACCTCAGAGACGGCGTTGTGCTGCTCGGACAGGACGTGCTTCATCTTCTGCTTGTAGACCTGAAAACCCGACAGAGTCAGGATCGGACCGGGAGAACCGCAGGACCGGAAGAACCGCAGGACCACCTCGCAGGGTCAGTGGAGGACTCACAGTCATCTCCTCTCTGTGTTGCTCGTCGACCTCTGACCTCTCTGCAGTGGTATTCCTCAGCTGGATCTCGGACTCCTCCAGGTTCTTCTTGATCGTCTCCCAAACGATCTTGGTCTTGTCCCGCTCCAGCTGGAAGAGGCTCTTTTCCTTCCGCACCGTGTCCAGCTCCTCCTGGATCCGGAGGGCGAAATCCCACAACTGCAACACATTGCAGACAATCAGGGCGGGATTAACCAGGAAACTGCAAAGGAATTAATCTGGTTTTAATCTGGTGTTGAATGACCCCGGATTAAAACCAGTCAAACTGACCCAGTTCATTCAAATCGACCCGGATATAAATGGAAAATTAAGAAAGTTACTTTAGGTTTGGGCCTTCAGCCAATCAGCACTAAGGACAGCGAATGGCGTTCATGGATTGGCTGCTTTGCAAATCCCAGCCAATAGCGTGTCAGATGTCATCAGGGTTTGAACCAGAAAACGATCAGATTTTCATCAAATCGTCTGGAGTGGCGCCTGCAGACGAACCATGAACCAGCCAGAGTCCAAAAGCTCAACTATTATCTGACTTCAGTGGAAACTCATTTCAAACGTGTCTGAATTCAGGAAAACGTGTAGAAATGTACTTTGAATAATGAGACTGCTGCTGTAGAGGATAAAGATGAGCGCTGCATCCCTGGCGCTCATTCATTTAACAAAACTACGCTTCAAATTCCCCACAGGAAGATTCAGCCTGTTCTGGAGTTCTACCCAAATTAAGCTTTAAAATGTTAGCTCCTGCAGGTCCTCCACCATCTAACAGTCGCATGTTTGTTCTGCCGGTTTGCACGGTTCCATCAGGTCCAAACTCTGAACACCAGCTAGCCTTGTTAGCATCAGCAGGAAGTGCTACCTGATCCTTGGACATGTCCTGTATGGGCGCAGAGTCCAGCAGCATGAAGGGGTTCACCTTCCCGCCTTTCCCTTTTTTGCCCTTTTTGCCTTTCTTTGGAGGCTGAAGAAGGAAAACACAATTTGAGCTGCTGATGCTAAGCTAACATGCTAACGAGACATAATTCAGAATCTAACAGTTAATAAATTGATCTCATATTGCTGAACATGTAGTTTCCAGTAAAGTGTGAACATTTTCTCACCATTGTGGCTCACTGATCCGCTTCTCCCAGCAGAAGAAAATATAAAAGTTTAACTGTTGAAACAAACCAGAATGTGCTGCCATAGCAACGGGACAAAGAAATGTAAAACATGCAGCATTTGCTGCACAGTCTCTGAAATGCAACCGAAACATATTTAGAAAAATGTCTTTGAGATAGTCTTACAGTTTTGTAGTGAATATATATTTGGTTCTGTGGATTTAATTGTTTTCCCATAATTATCTTATAATTATGGCTTTTATTTTGTGTTATTCTGTGGTTGACAGCATCATCTCTACTGTCATCTGTTGGGGCAGCAGCATCAGAACCAGGGATTTAAAGAACGCTGGTTCTGTTCTGGTTCTGGTTCTGTTCTGGTTCTGATTCTGTTCTGGTTCTTGTTCTGGTTCTGATTCTGTTCTGGTTCTGTTGTGGTTCTGGTTCTGATTCTGTTCTGGTTCTGGTTCTGTTTGGGGGACGACACAAAGGGGGATTCTTTAAACGTTGACTAATGAGACCAGAGGCTTCTTCAGATTCACTGTGATACAGACTGATGCAGAAGACCTTTCCTGCCAACAGCCATCAGCATCGACAGTAACTTTTGAAGAATCTGAATTAATGAGATACAACAACATTTAATTTCCCTTTGGGTTCAATAAAGTATGTTTGAATCAGAACCTTGAGTTTGGATTTATGTTTTAAGCGGCACAACTGGAGCCTGCAGTGCGCCGTTTTCCAGTAGGGGGCAGTAAAGCGCCCATAGCGCCAGTAAAGAAGAGCTGGTCTGTGATTGGTTAGAGTTGATACGGTATAAACAAAAGCTGAGCCCAAACTGCTCAAGTACACTTGGCTGCTTATGGAGGTTTTAGGGGTCAAAGGTTAAAGGTTACGGAATATTGCTCCTTCGGGGAACCTCTGCCTCGCTGCTTTAGCTCCGGTTTCCGCAGTTCACGTCATGTTTCAGGCTCCGTTGCTGGGAGGCTAATGTGGCTAAAGCTAGCTCAGAGCTAAAGTCCGGTAGCTTTTAAATGAAGTTCGGTTCGGTTCGGGAACTGACCCAAGTCTAAAGAGCGGTTGAGTTCGGCCCCTGGAGCCGCCATGAGCCGTTCCCCGGTGTGACTGAAGGGGGAGGATGGCAGCAGAGCTGTTCCCCGCCAAGAAGCTGGTGTCTCCGGCCTCAAGCAGCAGCAGCTCCGCCGCTTCGCTCCAGCAGCAGAACCTGAGCAACAACAACCCGGCGCCGGGCTGCAGCTGGCAGGGCCTGTTCCCCACCATCCGGGAGAGGTGAGTGGGTACCGGGGTACCGGCGCTCCCCGGGGTACCGGCGCTCCCCGGGGTACCGGCGCTCCCCGGGGTACCGGCGCTCCCCGGGGTACCGGCGCTCCCCGGGGTACCGGCGCTCCCCGGGGTACCGGCGCTCCCCGGGGTACCGGCGCTCCCCGGGGTACCGGCGCTCCCCGGGGTACCGGCGCTCCCCGGGGTACCGGCTCCCGGTCAGAAAGTCATCAAAATTTAGTCTAGTTTTTATGAAACTTTCAAATTTAATAAATTAAAAGTCAGAAAACAAATAAATGGTATAATAACTGAATGCAGAGAAAGTTTTATTCATTGTTATGAAATGTTTTTCATTGCTGGTTCCGTCCAGACTAATTGAAGTTATTGCAATAATAATAATAATGTTGTTTTGAGACCATTTTCCATAATCCAAGAACACAATAAACTTTGAACTCTAATAAACATTTAATTCTGGAACCAGAAGACTTTTTGAATATCCAAAAGAATTAAATAAAATTAAAAGTCTCTGTAAACAAAACTGAAACCAAATCACAACAAAACATTTATCATCCAGTTTTTGCCAGAAAAGGAAAAATAATAAATCCTGCTGGTAGAAACTATTCAGTTTGTTTCAGTTTATCCCAGTGATTGCTGCTGTAGCTACGGACGAATTTCTCTACCGGAAGATGAAATAAGAATATTTGTGGAAATCTGTGATGAATGGTTATGACTCATATGAAGAGTTTCCTCTCAGCTGGAAATTCACATTTTATCATTTGAAAATCAAAAAAAGTTAAGCTGGAGTTGAAATTTCAGACTTGTTTAGTAATTAACATAAATAAATATGAATGACACTCCATTATTTACACAAGCAGATTTTTACCGTAAAATGTGCAGAAATGTGAGGCGACATTTTGACTTCATTAATCTCAGGTCTGGAATCTGCTGCTTGTTTTCACCTGAAATTAACATTTTCTTTAAATTTTAGATTTTTATTTTATCCTGATCCAAAAATAATAAACACAGGGATGTTTCTTCCGAACCAGCCGACCAGCCGGGGTAAAGGCGTCTGGAGCTGCAGCTTTATGAACTTTAACTGAATTTAGGTGTAATTCAAGTAAAATAAAAACCTTAAACTAAGTGCAGTTAAAAAGTAGAAATGATTATCGAGAAACTGTGTTTCTGTCATTTCTGTGAAGTTTTGGTTCATATTTCTGTCTGTAGGAATTCAGTCATGTTCAACAACGAGATGATGGCGGACGTTCACTTCGTGGTCGGACCGCCGGGCGCCACTCAGAGGGTTCCTGGACACAAGGTCGAGTCCCGACAGCTTCTAGGGCGAGATCTCTAGAGATAGATGTATAGAAACAGATCTGCTGCAGAGCTGCTCATATTTAATGTTTAGGGTATTAAAGCTTCTTCACTGCCTTCGTGACTTTAAACCAGAATTATTATTATTAGTATTATTATTATTATTATTCTATTACAGCCGTTTCCTGCAGGGGGCGACTCGTTGCGTCTAAAGTCTTTTAGAAACCAGGTTCTGTTGGCTTCTGACCCGGTTCCGGTTCTGCTGTTCCTCTCGGCAGTACGTTCTGGCCGTGGGCAGCTCCGTGTTCCATGCCATGTTTTACGGCGAGCTGGCCGAGGACACGGAGGAGATCCGGATCCCGGACGTGGAGCCGCCGTCCTTCCTGGCCATGCTGAAGTGGGTCGGACTATCCGTTCGGACCTCAGAACCAGAACCGGTCTGCTAACCCGGCCTCTCCTCCACAGGTACATCTACTGTGATGAGATCGACCTGTGCGCCGACACGGTGCTCGCCACCCTCTACGCCGCCAAAAAGTACATCGTGCCTCACCTGGCGCGGGCCTGCGTCAACTTCCTGGAAACGAGCCTGAGCGCCAAGAACGCCTGCGTGCTTCTGTCGCAGAGCTGCCTGTTCGAGGAGCCGGACCTGACGCAGCGCTGCTGGGAGGTCATCGACGCGCAGGCCGAGCTGGCGCTGCGCTCCGAGGGCTTCTGCGACATCGACGCGCAGACGCTGGAGAGCATCCTGCGACGGGAGACGCTCAACGCCAAGGAGATGGTCGTGTTCGAGGCGGCGCTGAGCTGGGCGGAGGCCGAGTGCCAGCGCCGCGACTTGCCACCCTCCATCGACAACAAGCGGCTGGTGCTGGGCAAGGCCATCTACCTGATCCGCATCCCCGCCATGGCGCTGGAGGACTTCGCCAACGGCGCGGCGCAGTCCGGCGTGCTGACGCTCAACGAGACCAACGACATCTTCCTGTGGTTCACGGCGTCCCGCAAGCCGGAGCTGCTGTTCTGCACCAAGCCGCGGAAGGGGCTGGCGCCGCAGCGCTGCCACCGCTTCCAGTCCTGCGCTTACCGCAGCAACCAGTGGCGCTACCGCGGCCGCTGCGACAGCATCCAGTTCGCCGTGGACCGCCGCGTCTTCATCGCCGGCTTCGGCCTGTACGGCTCCAGCTGCGGCTCGGCCGAGTACAGCGCCAAGATGGAGCTGAAGCGGCAGGGAGTGCCCATGGCGCAGCGCGTCATCAAGTTCTTCTCCGACGGCTCCAGCAGCACCTTCCCGGTCTGGTTCGACTACCCGGTCCAGATCGAGCCCGACACCTTCTACACGGCCAGCGTGGTTCTGGACGGCAACGAGCTCAGCTACTTTGGCCAGGAGGGCATGACGGAGGTCCAGAGCGGCAAGGTCACCTTCCAGTTCCAGTGCTCCTCCGACAGCACCAACGGGACCGGGGTCCAGGGCGGCCAGATCCCAGAACTCATCTTCTACGCCTGAGCCGGGTCGCCGCGGGAAGCCGGGGGACTACTTCCAGCGGCGGATGAATACACTAACGGTCTGAGTGACAAAACGGAGCCAAACTTTGCTCCATATTTTCATTTGTTTGTGCCGCAATTATTTTAAACGTTATGAAAGTTTCAGAGGTCATGAAAGGTCAAGCAGACCCTCTTCTGGGTGCTTTGAGACGTCGTTGACCTCTGACCTCTGGACTCTTGATTATCTTCTAATGGCAGCACAGATAAAGTTTTGCTGACACCAGTTCATTTATAGATTATTGATTATTAATCTCTGAAGGCGGTTCCGGTCTGAAGTAAGGTCGGGAAATGAAGCAGAACCCGACCGGATCTCTGCGTCGGACCTCCCAGTGCCTTAATGACGTGTAGATCCGGGTCTGCTGAGCCGGGTCAGAACCGTTTTCAGGTTCAGATCTGTGTTGATCCGCGGGTCGTTTCAGTCGGTTTCGACCCGTCGTGTAGAAGAAAATGGTTCTGATCTGCTGGGTTCTGGTTCACCTCCAGAACCAGAACTGATCCACTTCCTGCTCTCAGAGGAGCAGTTCCTGTTGGGATCGGGTCAGAACCTCAGCTAGATCGACCAGACCACTGGGACCCGGTCGTGGTTCTGATGGTGCTGCTGCTCCTCAGTTTGTTGCCTTAGTGAAGCTGCTGAGTGGCGCAGTTCCTGCTGCAGCCTGAAGGTGGCAGTGTTTGCTGTTACCTGGAGCTGGAGCTTCCCCTTTCTGAGGTTCTGGATGAGGTTCTGCCATCGTTTGGACCTGAAGCTCATTGCTTTTTCTTCATTTAATCACCTAGAAACGGGTTGAACCCGGTTCACACGTTCCTTTAGTTTTGTCTGTTTTCCTGTTTTGTGTTTCCTGTTTCCTGTTTTCTGCCTCCATCCTGGATGAAACTCGGTGGCCTTATCTAACTCATGTAGTGATGAAATAAAAAGTTTAAAAAGTTTATTTTTGCTGCGTTTTACCTGAAGAAAATGTTGCAGAAATAAACTGGAGACATGAAGAATTCAGCAAACGTTCTGGTTCTAGTTCTGGTCCTGCGGTGAACGGGTCCAGCAGTTGGGTCTGTGAAGGTTCTGGAGGATCCAGAAAGCTTGTTCTGGATCTGGATCTGGAGGGAACCAGGAGATTCCTGCGGATCTGACAAGCTGTTGCAGGAAACTGAAGCCAGTCGGATCAGAGGAGACGCCAAAGTTCTGCCAGATGTTCTGACCGTACAGAACCGGTTTCTGTGGACCAACATCTGCTTCACTTACCTGGAACTGTGGAGGAAAGTAACTAGGTACTTAGTTCAGGTGTAATGAGATACATGTTACCTGTATTTACAGGGAAAAATCTGAGTGAATCATTTTGTTACATTTCATGGGATGAAAACTGCAGGAAACCCTGGAGACCTTTAAATTACACAAAAATGCTACTAAACTAAAAACGGTTTGAAATTAATATGTTTTGTTAAAACAACTTTCTGCTCATAAACTAAAACATAGTAAAAGTTTAACAAGGTAAGTTTTTATTTGAGTTACATTTTGCACTGGTAACATTACGAGTTTTTAAGTATTTTGTTTTTCAAAGTAACTTAGATTATTTCTCAAGCTGCAGATTCTCCTTCCGGGCCACAAGGCGGCGCGCTGCAGTGAAACGGCTCATCTCAGAAGAAGACAGTCAGTCCAAAGGCTGATCCGCCTGTTGGATTCGGAACTTTGTGAGAGTCCTGTTGGACCGAAGCAGCGCCATGAACCGGCTGAAGCTCATCTCCGGACACCTGAGTCCCGGCCTCCGGAGCTCCGACTGCGGCTGCGCGGCGCCCAGCCCCGGGGACGAGGTGGTGGTGGTCCACGGCCGGAGGACCGCGATCGGAAAGGCCAAAAAAGGAAGTTTTAAGGTTCGTACGGTCCGAGAAAACAGCAGAACCCGAACAATACCGGACTTGACCGAGTTAAGCCGATGTTCCAACCTGTCGCCGCAAGCCCCGCCCCCTGCCGGTAGACTCCGCCCACTGAGTGGAAGTGGGATGTTGCGTAGATTTATTAAAGTCAAACTGATTTTATAGAAAGAGACTGAAGATGAGATATAAATATTTGAAGGCTATTGGAAATAAAATCTATCATTATGATGAAAGTTTTCTGATTAATCGCTAACTAGCAGGTTAAAGTTGATCCACTGGGATAATTGGGACTAATCCCAGTCAGGTCCTGATTTTCTTTGGAAGCAGACTGGGATTGAATGTTCCGGTTTAAATCTGAAACAGATTCATTCACTGGTTTGAACCGGGACTGGTTCAGAGGCCCGGAGGGGCCACATGCTAACAAACCGGCTTCCTGCAGGACACCACGCCGGACGAGCTGCTGAGCGCCGTGATGACGGCCGTCCTGGAGGACGTGGGACTGTCCCCGGAGCAGCTGGGGGACGTCTGTGTGGGTGAGTGTAATACCCAGCCTGGCCTGAAGGGGCACCATCGTCCTGCTAACGAGGCTATCTGTCTGCAGGAAACGTTCTGCAGCCTGGAGCCGGAGCACTGATGGCCCGAGTGGCTCACTTCCTGAGGTTAGGATCAAGGGTCAGAGGTCAGGTGTAGAGGCCTTTAAAGGGGCGGGGCCTGGAGGTTCTAACAGCTGTTCTGCTTGCAGCGGTTTTCCAGAGAAGGTTCCGGTTTACACAGTGAACAGGCAATGTTCCTCTGGCCTGCAGGCGCTGCTCAACATCGCAGGTAACGCCTGACCCCTAACCCTCACCCGGCCTGACCCCTAACCCTCACCCAGCCTGAACCCTAACCCTCACCGGCCTGACCCCTAACCCTCACCCGGCCTGACCCCTAACCCTCACCCGGCCTGACCCCTAACCCTCACCCGGCCTGACTGCTTCCAGCTGGTTCCTCCGGGCCGCCGGCCCAGTCTGACCCGGTTGTTCTGTTTCTCAGGGTCCATCCGGAGCGGATCCATCCAGCTGGGCCTGGCCTGCGGGTGAGTTCCTGAAGTTTCCTTCTCTTCCCGTCAGCCGTTCAAAGTTCTCCAGACGTTCAGAGACCCGTTCACTTCGTCATCCCGACCTCTGACCTCTGGTCTGCTGCGTTTCAGAGTGGAGATGTCGCTCCGATCCATGGGGGATCCAGGAGATCTGAGCTCCGGACTGTCGGCCAACGCCAAGGCGAGGGACTGCCTGATCCCCATGGGGTGAGAGGAGGCGAGGCAGAGCCGATCGATCGATCGAGCAATAATCAATACGACCAACGGGAGGAATTACGGCTTCAGAATCATGAAGTTGATCCATCAGCAGAAAAACTCTCAGCATGAACGTCCTTCACTAAATCACTGAAGATCAGGATATTTACTGATATCCTCCTTTATTGATTGATGTTGCAACATTTTCCAATCAGCCTGATTGGCTCCGGAATCGATCCTCCATGTTTTCTGTCTCCTCAGCGTGACGTCGGAGAACGTCGCTGAGCGCTTCGCCGTCTCCCGGCAGCAGCAGGACGCCTTCGCTCTCGACTCGCACATCAAGTTTGTTTCGTTTTTTAGCTCTGGAGCATTTTGTTTTTCCTGTGGTTCTCCCAGTGTTCCCAGTTGCTCCAGGTCTGGTCTTGAGGGCCGGTGCTGACCGTGTGTCCCCGCAGGGCGGCCCGGGCCCGGGACTCGGGGCAGTTCGACCAGGAGATCGTTCCCGTCTCCGTCACGGTCCGGGACGAGTCGGGCCGGGAGCGGCGGTTGGAGGTCCGGAGGGACGAGGGAATCCGGGCCGGAACGACCCTGGAGGACCTGGCCCGGCTTCGACCCGCCTTCAAACCCGACGGAACCACTACGGCAGGTCAGAACCGCCCTCCCTGCAGCACCGTCTCCCGCCGGCGCCGCTGACTCCGCTCTGTTCCAGGAAACTCCAGCCAGGTGAGCGACGGAGCGGCAGCGGTTCTGCTGGGCCGCCGGGCCGCCGTGGAGGAACTGGGTCTGCCGGTTCTGGGCGTGCTGCGGGGAAGTGCCGTGGTGGGCGTCCCGCCGGACCTGATGGGCGTCGGCCCAGCGCTGGCCATCCCGGCCGCGCTGCGGCAAGCAGGTGAGGCGACCGGAACCTTCTGGATCAGAACCAACCCGACGGAACCAACATAACCTCCATTTTCCTCATCAGGACTGAAAGTGAGCGACATCGACATCTTCGAGATCAACGAGGCGTTCGCCAGCCAGGTGTGGGTTTGTGTCAACTGTCTCCAGGTGTGTGTGTGTGTCAACTGTCTCCAGGTGTGTGTGTGTTAACTGTCTCCAGGTGTGTGTGTGTTAACTGTCTCCAGGTGTGTGTGTGTGTGTGTTAACTGTCTCCAGGTGTGTGTGTGTGTCAACTGTCTCCAGTGTGTGTGTGTGTTAACTGTCCAGGTGTGTGTGTGTTAACTGTCTCCAGGTGTGTGTGTGTTAACTGTCTCCAGGTGTGTGTGTGTCAACTGTCTCCAGGTGTGTGTGTGTGTGTGTGTGTGTGTTAACTGTCTCCAGGTGTGTGTGTGTAACTGTCTCCAGGTGTGTGTGTGTTAACTGTCTCCAGGTGTGTGTGTGTCAACTGTCTCCAGTGTGTGTGTGTGTGTGTGTTAACTGTCTCCAGGTGTGTGTGTGTGTTAACTGTCTCCAGGTGTGTGTGTGTTAACTGTCTCCAGGTGTGTGTGTGTGTGTCAACTGTCTCCAGGTGTGTGTGTGTTAACTGTCTCCAGGTGTGTGTGTGTTAACTGTCTCCAGTGTGTGTGTGTTAACTGTCTCCAGGTGTGTGTGTGTTAACTGTCTCCAGGTGTGTGTGTGTGTGTCAACTGTCTCCAGGTGTGTGTGTTAACTGTCTCCAGGTGCGTGTGTGTTAACTGTCTCCAGGTGTGTGTGTGTGTCAACTGTCTCCAGGTGTGTGTGTGTTAACTGTCTCCAGGTGTGTGTGTGTTAACTGTCTCCAGGTGTGTGTGTGTGTCAACTGTCTCCAGGTGTGTGTGTGTTAACTGTCTCCAGGTGTGTGTGGTGTGTCAACTGTCTCCAGGTGTATGTGTTAACTGTCTCCAGGTGCGTGTGTGTTAACTGTCTCCAGGTGTGTGTGTGTGTCAACTGTCTCCAGGTGTGTGTGTGTTAACTGTCTCCAGGTGTGTGTGTGTGTTAACTGTCTCCAGGTGTGTGTGTGTTAACTGTCTCCAGGTGTGTGTGTGTTAACTGTCTCCAGGTGTGTGTGTGTGTGTGTGTGTCAACTGTCTCCAGGTGTGTGTGTGTTAACTGTCTCCAGGTGTGTGTGTGTTAACTGTCTCCAGTGTGTGTGTGTGTGTTAACTGTCTCCAGGTGTGTGTGTGTGTCAACTGTCTCCAGGTGTGTGTGTGTGTGTTAACTGTCTCCAGGTGTGTGTGTGTCAACTGTCTCCAGGTGTGTGTGTGTGTCAACTGTCTCCAGGTGTGTGTGTGTGTGTGTTAACTGTCTCCAGGTGTGTGTGAACTGTCTCCAGGTGTGTGTGTGTTAACTGTCTCCAGGTGTGTGTGTGTGTCAACTGTCTCCAGGTGTGTGTGTTAACTGTCTCCAGGTGCGTGTGTGTTAACTGTCTCCAGGTGTGTGTGTGTTAACTGTCTCCAGGTGTGTGTGTGTTAACTGTCTCCAGGTGTGTGTGTGTGTGTCAACTGTCTCCAGGTGTGTGTGTGTTAACTGTCTCCAGGTGCGTGTGTGTTAACTGTCTCCAGGTGTGTGTGTGTGTGTGTCAACTGTCTCCAGGTGTGTGTGTGTTAACTGTCTCCAGGTGTGTGTGTGTGTGTGTTAACTGTCTCCAGGTGTGTGTGTGTCAACTGTCTCCAGGTGTGTGTGTTAACTGTCTCCAGGTGTGTGTGTGTGTGTTAACTGTCTCCAGGTGTATGTGTGTTAACTGTCTCCAGGTGTGTGTGTGTTAACTGTCTCCAGGTGTGTGTGTGTGTCAACTGTCTCCAGGTGTGTGTGTGTTAACTGTCTCCAGGTGTGTGTGTGTGTTAACTGTCTCCAGGTGTGTGTGTGTTAACTGTCTCCAGGTGTGTGTGTTAACTGTCTCCAGGTGTGTGTGTGTGTGTGTGTGTCAACTGTCTCCAGTGTGTGTGTGTTAACTGTCTCCAGGTGCGTGTGTGTTAACTGTCTCCAGGTGTGTGTGTGTGTTAACTGTCTCCAGGTGTGTGTGTGTGTCAACTGTCTCCAGGTGTGTGTGTGTGTGTTAACTGTCTCCAGGTGTGTGTGTGTGTCAACTGTCTCCAGGTGTGTGTGTGTCAACTGTCTCCAGTGTGTGTGTGTGTGTGTTAACTGTCTACAGGTGTGTGAACTGTCTCCAGGTGTGTGTGTGTTAACTGTCTCCAGGTGTGTGTGTGTGTGTCAACTGTCTCCAGGTGTGTGTGTGTTAACTGTCTCCAGGTGCGTGTGTGTTAACTGTCTCCAGGTGTGTGTGTGTTAACTGTCTCCAGGGTGTGTGTGTTAACTGTCTCCAGGTGTGTGTGTGTGTTAACTGTCTCCAGGTGTGTGTGTGTGTGTTAACTGTCTCCAGGTGTGTGTGTGTTAACTGTCTCCAGGTGTGTGTGTGTGTGTGTGTTAACTGTCTCCAGGTGTGTGTGTGTGTGTTAACTGTCTCCAGGTGTGTGTGTGTTAACTGTCTCCAGGTGTGTGTGTGTGTCAACTGTCTCCAGGTGTGTTGTGTGTGTGTTAACTGTCTCCAGGTGTGTGTGTGTGTGTTAACTGTCTCCAGGTGTGTGTGTGTTAACTGTCTCCAGGTGTGTGTGTGTTAACTGTCTCCAGGTGTGTGTGTGTGTGTCAACTGTCTCCAGGTGTGTGTGTTAACTGTCTCCAGGTGCGTGTGTGTTAACTGTCTCCAGGTGTGTGTGTGTTAACTGTCTCCAGGTGTGTGTGTGTGTGTCAACTGTCTCCAGGTGTGTGTGTGTCAACTGTCTCCAGGTGTGTGTGTGTTAACTGTCTCCAGGTGTGTGTGTGTGTGTCAACTGTCTCCAGGTGTGTGTGTGTTAACTGTCTCCAGGTGTGTGTGTGTGTGTGTTAACTGTCTCCAGGTGTGTGTGTGTCAACTGTCTCCAGTGTGTGTGTGTTAACTGTCTCCAGGTGTGTGTGTGTTAACTGTCTCCAGGTGTGTGTGTGTGTGTCAACTGTCTCCAGGTGTATGTGTTAACTGTCTCCAGGTGCGTGTGTGTTAACTGTCTCCAGGTGTGTGGTGTGTCAACTGTCTCCAGGTGTGTGTGTGTTAACTGTCTCCAGGTGTGTGTGTGTGTTAACTGTCTCCAGTGTGTGTGTGTTAACTGTCTCCAGGTGTGTGTGTGTCAACTGTCTCCAGGTGTGTGTGTGTGTGTGTCAACTGTCTCCAGGTGTGTGTGTGTTAACTGTCTCCAGGTGCGTGTGTGTCAACTGTCTCCAGGTGTGTTAACTGTCTCCAGGTGTGTGTGTGTGTCAACTGTCTCCAGGTGGTGTGTGTGTGTGTTAACTGTCTCCAGGTGTGTGTGTCAACTGTCTCCAGGTGTGTGTGTGTCAACTGTCTCCAGGTGTGTGTGTGTGTGTTAACTGTCTCCAGGTGTGTGTGTGTTAACTGTCTCCAGGTGTGTGTGTGTTAACTGTCTCCAGGTGTGTGTGTGTGTCAACTGTCTCCAGGTGTGTGTGTGTTAACTGTCTCCAGGTGTGTGTGTTAACTGTCTCCAGGTGTGTGTGTGTGTTAACTGTCTCCAGGTGTGTGTGTGTGTGTGTTAACTGTCTCCAGGTGTGTGTGTGTTAACTGTCTCCAGGTGTGTGTGTGTTAACTGTCTCCAGGTGTGTGTGTGTCAACTGTCTCCAGGTGTGTGTGTGTTAACTGTCTCCAGGTGCGTGTGTGTTAACTGTCTCCAGGTGTGTGTGTGTTAACTGTCTCCAGGTGTGTGTGTGTTAACTGTCTCCAGGTGTGTGTGTGTGTCAACTGTCTCCAGGTGTGTGTGTGTTAACTGTCTCCAGGTGTGTGTGTATTAACTGTCTCCAGGTGTGTGTGTGTGTCAACTGTCTCCAGGTGTGTGTGTGAACTGTCTCCAGGTGTGTGTGTGTGTGTGTTAACTGTCTCCAGGTGCGTGTGTGTCAACTGTCTCCAGTGTGTGTGTTAACTGTCTCCAGGTGTGTGTGTGTGTCAACTGTCTCCAGGTGTATGTGTGTTAACTGTCTCCAGGTGCGTGTGTGTTAACTGTCTCCAGGTGTGTGTGTGTGTCAACTGTCTCCAGGTGTGTGTGTGTGTGTTAACTGTCTCCAGGTGTGTGTGTGTGTTAACTGTCTCCAGGTGTGTGTGTGTTGTTAACTGTCTCCAGGTGTGTGTGTTAACTGTCTCCAGGTGTGTGTGTGTGTGTGTCAACTGTCTCCAGGTGTGTGTGTGTTAACTGTCTCCAGGTGTGTGTGTGTTAACTGTCTCCAGGTGTGTGTGTGTGTGTGTCAACTGTCTCCAGGTGTGTGTGTGTTAACTGTCTCCAGTGTGTGTGTGTGTTAACTGTCTCCAGGTGCGTGTGTGTCAACTGTCTCCAGGTGTGTGTGTGTGTTAACTGTCTCCAGGTGTGTGTGTGTGTGTCAACGTCTCCAGGTGTATGTGTGTTAACTGTCTCCAGGTGCGTGTGTGTTAACTGTCTCCAGGTGTGTGTGTGTGTCAACTGTCTCGTGTGTGTGTGTGTGTGTTAACTGTCTCCAGGTGTGTGTGTGTGTTAACTGTCTCCAGGTGTGTGTGTGTTAACTGTCTCCAGGTGGTGTGTGTGTGTGTCAACTGTCTCCAGGTGTGTGTGTGTTAACTGTCTCCAGGTGCGTGTGTGTTAACTGTCTCCAGGTGTGTGTGTGTTAACTGTCTCCAGGTGTGTGTGTGTGTCAACTGTCTCCAGGTGTGTGTGTGTGTGTGTTAACTGTCTCCAGGTGTGTGTGTCAACTGTCTCCAGGTGTGTGTGTGTGTGTGTTAACTGTCTCCAGGTGTGTGTGTGTCAACTGTCTCCAGGTGTGTGTGTGTGTGTCAACTGTCTCCAGGTGCGTGTGTGTCAACTGTCTCCAGGTGTGTGTGTGTTAACTGTCTCCAGGTGTGTGTGTGTCAACTGTCTCCAGGTGTGTGTGTGTCAACTGTCTCCAGGTGTGTGTGTGTGTGTGTGTTAACTGTCTCCAGGTGTGTGTGTGTTAACTGTCTCCAGGTGTGTGTGTGTCAACTGTCTCCAGGTGTGTGTGTGTTAACTGTCTCCAGGTGTGTGTGTGTGTTAACTGTCTCCAGGTGTGTGTGTCAACTGTCTCCAGGTGTGTGTGTTAACTGTCTCCAGGTGTGTGTGTGTCAACTGTCTCCAGGTGTGTGTGTGTCAACTGTCTCCAGGTGTGTGTGTGTGTTAACTGTCTCCAGGTGTGTGTGTGTTAACTGTCTCCAGGTGTGTGTGTGTAACTGTCTCCAGGTGTGTGTGTGTGTGTTAACTGTCTCCAGTGTGTGTGTGTGTTAACTGTCTCCAGGTGTGTGTGTGTTAACTGTCTCCAGGTGTGTGTGTTAACTGTCTCCAGGTGGTGTGTGTGTCAACTGTCTCCAGGTGTGTGTGTTAACTGTCTCCAGGGTGTGTGTGTTAACTGTCTCCAGGTGTGTGTGTGTGTCAACTGTCTCCAGGTGTGTGTGTTAACTGTCTCCAGGTGTGTGTGTGTGTGTCAACTGTCTCCAGGTGTGTGTGTGTTAACTGTCTCTCTCTCCAGGCCGTGTTCTGCGTTCACGTCTTGGTCTTCCTCCAGAGAAGGTGAATCCTCTAGGGGGCGCCATCGCTCTGGGTCACCCTCTGGCTGCACCGGCACCCGGCAGGTTGTGACGCTGCTGAATGAACTGCGGCGCCGAGGCAGGAGGTGGGTCCGGTTCAGTCGCAGCAGCGGAACCTGGTCGGGCCGGGTTCTGACCCGGTTCCGCTCTCTCTGTCAGGGCTTTCGGAGTCGTCTCCATGTGCATCGGGACCGGGATGGGAGCCGCCGCCGTGTTCGAGTTTCCCGGGCCGTAGCGACCGATTCATATGGGTCCGACAGCTTCGACCCGGAACATCAGGAAAGTTTCCAGTGATTCCAGTTTAATCGGCCCAATTCCTGAAAACTGATTTCAGTTTCTGTCCCACCTTTAACGTCTGACCGGCTGCTGATCTCAGCTGATAACCAGACCCAAACAGTTCTGGTCAGAACGGCCTGAGGAGGACGAGTTCCCACCAGGTGATTTTTCCTCCAGGCTGATTCAACTGGATCTTCAAATGTTTAATTTTTTAAAAGCAAAAAAGATTTAATAGTAACACATTAACATGTATCAGAACCGAGCCAATCAAAAATCACCAGGCTGATTTCTCCATATTTTCATGCAGATCCCCTTAAAGGGCCGGTTCAGGCAAAATGTGTAAATAAAATCACCCAATAACAAACTGATAAAATATTGACAACTATTTCTGTGTTCATTTCTTGGAATGAAATTGTTGCATCATTTTCTACTGATGATGTAACAAAGATAAAAATGGATCTGATCAATTAACCGCTGTGATCTGAAGGTTGCTTGTTTCCTCAGAGGGCCTCATGAAACGTTTTGCCGGGCCAGATTTGGCCCCCGAGCCTCGAATTTGACACACAAGCTCCTGAACGTTCCTCATGTTCAGCTGGGCCGGCCCAAATGGTTCTGGTCAGAACCCGTCCTAGCAGAAGTCCAGTGTCTGCTGGTTAAATCCAACCAATCAGCTCCTGCTGCTGACGTCAGAATATTTAATCATTTCCTCAATAAAGGCTTCTCTTTGGAGGCTTTTATTGTGACACTGCTTCCTGTTGAACCCAAATGACGTCAGAACATCAACTGGATCTTCAGATGTTTCATTTTTTAATAGCAAAAAGACTTCATAGTAACACATTAACATGTATCAGAACCGGGCCAATCAGAACCAGGAAGTGGGTCCGTCTTCAGGAGGAATCAGGTCACTCTCTGTTTCTTTCGGGCCTGGAATCGCTCCGTTTTGCTCTTAATGGATTTAACGAGCAGCGACAGAGTCGGATCCATCGCCGCCTTTGAGTCCGATTCCTGCCTGCCGCCTGGCTCCGCCCCCTCCTGCCTGCCGCCTGGCTCCGCCCCCTCCTGGCGGCGGCGCTGCTTCTCCTCCAGGATGCTCCGTGTGGCTCTGGTGTTCCTGAAGCCGGGGTGGGACGGGTCCAGGTTGAACAGGTGGGAGGTGAAGACGGCCTGGAAGCGCGGGGTCGGAGACGTCCACCTGGAGACAGACACCGTGTCATCGACCGACCTACGGAGGGCTGAACCTGCCACTCATTCTAATATTTCAACGCTGACTTTTCATAGTTTTGGAGAATCTAGAAGGTTTATTATTTTTAAATGGTTGGTACAAATTTCATAAAATAATACATAATTAAATAATAACTGTCTTATCAAAGATCACAAAACAAAAAGAGCAAAATTAAACTATAAAAATGCCTGAAATAAAAGCTCATTAAAAACTGGTCCCATTTATAAAACTGTTAGAAATAATAGACTAGTATTTAGTAGCTGCTTAATTCAATAGTACATTGTTACTGATGACGACAATTTTTCTGTTATTTGATTGTTTTGTCTGTAAATCCTTGCAGCAGTGAACAGGAAACTTCTGCCAGTGTGCTAATGGTAAAGCTAACATTTAGCACAACACTTTGGCATTTTTGCTAGCTTCAAAACATTTAGTGCACTTAATTTTCCCTAAATTAATTTTTCCAGATCATTTCTAAACAGCTAATTTTAAAAGTTTCATGAACTTCAGTTGAATAAAGTTCAAAGTCCATTTTTTAGTTTCAGAAATTGTTTTAGTAGTTAGCGGTGGCAGCCTGTCTGGGTGTGGAAGCAACGCTGCCCCCGTCAGGCCAGTGTGGGAATCGCAGCGTTTCCAGGTAAATCCTGGTCTCACCTGGAAGCCGTCGTCCTCCGGCGGCTCGGCACCCTTCCTCAGCAGCTTCTTCCTCTTCCTCCTGCTCAGGTTCTGCTGCTCTACGATCTTGTCGTAGTTAAAGTGTTTGTGTTTGGCTTCGTCATCGTCATCCTCCATCAGCAGAGCCATCTGGGCCTGGAAGCAAGCAGACGGTTGAGACGCGTGGAGTCAGAGGACGATCCGGCCGGGAATCGTTCTGCACCTCCTGTTTCTGCCGCTCCTCTTCCTCCTCAGCCGTAATCTGCTCTTCCTGCCGTTTCTTCTTCTGTTTCTTCTTCATGTCTGAAACATAAAGCATGACAGGAATCAGTCAGGTTCACTTCGCTAAAGACAGAAATGATTTTCACTGAACTTCAGAAACCAAACAAACTGAAGTAAATTTAAGTTTTGTTTCAAAACGCAGTTTTAAACATGTGGAGGTTTTGTCCATGTTTGTCTGTTTAAAGTAGAACCAGGAGGTCGGAATAAAATCGACACACCGTGACCGAGTGACCGACTGTTTTAAACACCGACGGCCAGAACAGTCGCCCCACTCCTGTCACCGTGGTAACCGAGCGTCCTGCGGGGACGTCACCTGATGGTCCGTCTGAGAAGAACGGTCGCTGAGGTCGACATCAGGAGGAAGCTCGTCGTCACTGAGCCGTTCTGCTCCCTGACGGGAAAACGTCACGTTAGAATCATTACTGCCTGCAGTTCAGAGCTCTGTCAGGAGGAGGCGCCACTCACCTGCTTTCTTTCACTTTTCTTCTGCTTCTTCTTCTCCTTCTCCTCTCTGCAGAAACTCCTCCCAGGGCGTCATCTGGTCCTTGGCCTCCAGCTTCTTCTTCACCAGCCGCTCCGTCGTTTCCTTCAGACCTGAGGAGGAGGACAATGAGGCGCTGTGGCGTCGCCGGAGGCGGAGCCTAGAGGCGGAGCCTAGAGAGCCTGCTGCTACCTGGAACCCAGCTGATCTGCATCTCCATGTCCTCCTGCGGCCTCCTCTCTTTGCTCTGGATGCTCTTCAGAAGCTCTCTGTATTTACTCATGCTGCTCTCTTCTTCTTCGGTTTCTCTCCTCTCCCATCGTCTCTTCTGTTTGAAAAACAACTCAGCACAACTTCGTCTCCTTAAAGTGCCAGAAAACTTTTCTCGATCCTCACCTGCCTCCTGCTCTTCATCTTCGTCTTCTTCACTGGAGGAGGCCAGGTAAGCCTTAAAGTCCAGGTCCAGCAGCTCCTCTTTGTTGAACTTCCTGCTCAGAGCCGTCACGCGCTCGTGGTCCGTCTCGTCCCACGTCAGCTGCACCTGATTGGTCCAGACGACATCCAACCATGATCAGATTATTGATCATCTCATTAATATTCATTAGATTAATAATCATGTCACTATTCCACCCTAATGAGATGCAAAGCAGCGAAATGGATGAACTTCTGCATTATATTCAGTTTGGTCCCAGGAACTGGACCGGACCAGAACCAGCTGCTCTGGTCTGAAGCTTTAGCTTGTGGACTAACTGCAGAACCGGGTTCCCTGGTCCCATTGGGCCAGAACCGGCGCCGTACTGACCTTGGAGGAGGCGGCAGCGGACGAGGTGAACATCTTGGGCGTGTAGGCCGTCAGGTTGACGTCTGTGGCCGCGTCTCTGGGCTCCTCATCAAACGTCACGTCATCAGGAACAAAACTGTTGAGTGAAAGAAGCTTAGAGTTTAATACGCGGAACCGGTCGGGACGTCTACATTCGTCATCGCACCGGAGATCCAGAACCGAGCAGCTGCTCTCGTATTCGAAGCCGTCGCATTCCTCGTAGATCTTCACCGCCGTCTCCACAGAGTCGCAATCCACCACGGCGTAGAAATACTTGAGACGCTTGAACTGATAATCCCGCAGCTTCTCCCTGTAGATCCTGAGAGAAGCAACAGAACCGCTTTAGCATCTAGACCAGAACCTCTGCTAGCTAACAGCAGAACCTCTGCTAGCTAACAGCAGAACATCTGCTAGCTAACAGCAGAACGTCTGCTAGCTAACAGACATCTGCTAGCTAACAGCAGAACCTCTAATAGCTAACAGCAGAACATCTGCTAGCTAACAGCAGAACATCTGCTAGCTAACAGCAGAACCTCTAATAGCTAACAGCAGAACATCTGCTAGCTAACAGCAGAACCTCTGCTAGCTAAAAGCAGAACATCTGCTAGCTAACAGCAGAACGTCTGCTAGCTAACAGCAGAACATCTGCTAGCTAACAGCAGAACCTCTAATAGCTAACAGCAGAACATCTGCTAGCTAACAGCAGAACATCTGCTAGCTAACAGCAGAACATCTGCTAGCTAACAGCGGAACCTCTGCTAGCTAACAGCAGAACCTCTGTTAGCTAACAGCAGAACGTCTGCTAGCTAACAGCAGAACGTCTGCTAGCTAACAGCAGAACCTCTGCTAGCTAACAGCAGAACATCTGCTAGCTAACAGCAGAACGTCTGCTAGCTAACAGCAGAACATCTGCTAGCTAACAGCAGAACCTCTAATAGCTAACAGCAGAACATCTGCTAGCTAACAGCAGAACATCTGCTAGCTAACAGCAGAACATCTGCTAGCTAACAGCGGAACCTCTGCTAGCTAACAGCAGAACCTCTGTTAGCTAACAGCAGAACGTCTGCTAGCTAACAGCAGAACGTCTGCTAGCTAACAGCAGAACCTCTGCTAGCTAACAGCAGAACATCTGCTAGCTAACAGCAGAACGTCTGCTAGCTAACAGCAGAACATCTGCTAGCTAACAGCAGAACCTCTAATAGCTAACAGCAGAACATCTGCTAGCTAACAGCAGAACATCTGCTAGCTAACAGCAGAACATCTGCTAGCTAACAGCAGAACATCTGCTAGCTAACAGCAGAACGTCTGCTAGCTAACAGCAGAACATCTGCTAGCTAACAGCAGAACCTCTAATAGCTAACAGCAGAACATCTGCTAGCTAACAGCAGAACATCTGCTAGCTAACAGCAGAACATCTGCTAGCTAACAGCAGAACATCTGCTAGCTAACAGCGGAACCTCTGCTAGCTAACAGCAGAACCTCTGTTAGCTAACAGCAGAACGTCTGCTAGCTAACAGCAGAACGTCTGCTAGCTAACAGCAGAACCTCTGTTAGCTAACAGCAGAAACGTCTGCTAGGTAACAGCAGAACGTCTGCTAGCTAACAGCAGAACCTCTGCTAGCTAACAGCAGAACATCTGCTAGCTAACAGCAGAACGTCTGCTAGCTAACAGCAGAACATCTGCTAGCTAACAGCAGAACCTCTAATAGCTAACAGCAGAACATCTGCTAGCTAACAGCAGAACATCTGCTAGCTAACAGCGGAACCTCTGCTAGCTAACAGCAGAACCTCTGCTAGCTAACAGCAGAACCTCTGTTAGCTAACAGCAGAACGTCTGCTAGCTAACAGCAGAACGTCTGCTAGCTAACAGCAGAAACCTCTGCTAGCTAACAGCAGAACATCTGCTAGCTAACAGCAGAACGTCTGCTAGCTAACAGCAGAACATCTGCTAGCTAACAGCAGAACCTCTAATAGCTAACAGCAGAACATCTGCTAGCTAACAGCAGAACATCTGCTAGCTAACAGCAGAACATCTGCTAGCTAACAGCAGAACATCTGCTAGCTAACAGCGGAACCTCTGCTAGCTAACAGCAGAACCTCTGTTAGCTAACAGCAGAACGTCTGCTAGCTAACAGCAGAACGTCTGCTAGCTAACAGCGGAACGTCTGCTAGCTAACAGCGGAACGTCTGCTAGCTAACAGCGGAACCTCTGTTAGCTAACAGCGGAACGTCTGCTAGCTAACAGCAGAACCTCTGCTATCTAACAGCGGAACCTCTGTTAGCTAACAGCGGAACGTCTGCTAGCTAACAGCGGAACCTCTGTTAGCTAACAGCGGAACGTCTGCTAGCTAACAGCGGAATCTCTGTTAGCTAACAGCGGAACCTCTGTTAGCTAACAGCGAAACGTCTGCTAGCTAACAGCGGAACCTCTGTTAGCCAACAGCGAAACGTCTGCTAGCTAACAGCGGAACCTCTGTTAGCTAACAGCGGAACGTCTGCTAGCTAACAGCGGAACCTCTGTTAGCTAACAACGGAACCTCTGTTAGCTAACAACGGAACGTCTGCTAGCTAACAGCGGAACCTCTGTTAGCTAACAACGGAACGTCTGCTAGCTAACAGCGGAACCTCTGTTAGCTAACAACGGAACGTCTGCTAGCTAACAGCGGAACCTCTGCTAGCTAACAGCGGAACGTCTGCTAGCTAACAGCAGAACCTCTGCTGGCTAACAGCAGAACGTCTGCTAGCTAACAGAACGTCTGCTAGCTAACAGAGCTCTGCTAGCTAACAGCAGAACCTCTGCTAGCTAACAGCAGAACCTCTGCTAACAGCAGAACCTCTGCTAGCTAACAGCAGAACCTCTGCTAGCTAACAGCAGAACCTCTGTTAGCTAACAGCAGAACCTCTGCTAGCTAACAGCAGAACGTCTGTTTCTAATTAAACCATCAGGAAGCGGCTAAAGCGCCCTCTGCTGCCTACAGTGACACCTGGTGACAGAAAGTTCACTCTGCAATCAATTAAATCCCAGCTGCCTCACAATTATTATTCTTGTCTTCTTCTACTGTTATACAAACTAAACATTTAAACAAACAGAGAAACGTCTCAATAGCACCCCTAGCTGTGTTCAGAGGACCCTCCACACTGACAGCAGATGAGCTGCACAGCGTCCAGCAAGGGGCAGCGCAGCAGCAGCAGGATCCTCCCAGGTTACCTGTCTTCGTCCGTCTCGTTCTCCGAATCGTCCGGCAGCGCCCTCAGCTCTGGCGGTCCCTGCGTCTCCTCCACCTTCAGCCTCTCCTTCCCAAATTCTGACGGGAAAATCTGGACAATACCCACAATGCACTGCTGTTACTCAGGACAAACAGGCCAATCTGGCTTGGTTCTGTTGGTGGATAAATCAGATTGTTGACCCAATATGGCAGCTTCACGGGGCCAGATGAACCCTCAGGCAGTTACCTTCACAGACAGCACAGCGCCCCCTTTAGGCACGAAGGAGCTGAACAGAGCCAGCAGATCTTTGGCCTTCATTCGATCCCAGTCCATGTTACAGACGGCGAGCCGAGCAGAAACCTGGAACACGTTCAGAACCCGGTTAGAACTGGTCAGGACCTCGCTCCGCGCCGCACCCGCCGCCTCACCTGCTCGCTCCGCGGAGCGTCTCTGCACAGCTCCCCCCAATCGTGTTCGATCTGCTCTTCCTCCTTCCTCAGGATGTCGTCCACATCATCATCCTCGTCTTCATCAGAGCTGGTCTCCATGTTTCCTTTTCCTCGGGCCAGATCCGGTCCGCTGTCATCGTCAGAGTCCAGACTGGACTCTTCATCATCATCATCATCATCATCATCATCATCTCCTGACTGATGCTCCTCCTCATCGTCATCTGAGGAAGAACCGAGTTAGCTTTAGCTGTCATTCTGTAGATCTAAAGAACTAAACATGAGGAAATAAAAGTTCAGTGAATGGAGCTGATTGAGCCAAACTGAAATCATGTTTTCCTGGATATTTGTTATGAAACGTCTCAGAAATAAATCAACTGGACTGACGTGAAATCAGAGGATGAAAAATCCTGACCTGCTGCTCTGCTTCCTCGTCCAAAATTCTTCTTCTGTCCCTGGACCTGAACATCCTCCTCTTCCTCCTGCTTCTCTTCCTCCTCCTTCTCTTCCTCCTCCTTCTCTTCCTCCTCTTCTTCCTCTTCTCCTCCTCCAGCTGGTAGAAGCGCCTCAGATCGGCGGCGGTGGACAGCTGGACGGGTCGTCCTCTCTTGTCCACCGTCTGCTTCGTCTGGAAGCGACGGTCGTGGAACATGGACTGGAAACGTTTGTCGATCTTGACTTTGTGTTCTTTCTCTGGCATTTCCCAGAACCTGGGGTCCTTCTGGACCCGGCGGAACCGCTCATCGTCAGCCTGCTTCTTCCTGGACGACATGTTGGGGGAGAGCACAGTGCCGCCTGCAGGACAGGAGCAGAACTGCAGGTAAACCTGGAGAACTCTCCTCTAGTTTAGTTAAGAAAACATCCTTCCGGCTTCTCTATTCATGGCAACCAGGTGTAGTTTTTGCACCTGGGATCAGCTGATTAGCATCTGAAAAGCTCAAATAAAACCTTAAGGAGGAAGTTCAGAGGATCACATCTGAACATCCTGACATCCTTCTAACCAAACGACCAGACAGACGGAAAGAGGAGCAGCAAAAGCAAAGGAAGCGGATTAGCAGAGCTAGCTAACAGATGAAGGAGCCATCAGGACGACACTATGGAGTATAATCTCTGCTCAGCAGACACTGAGCTGTTAGCATGTTATGACGGTCAGAAGCGGTTAAACAGAAACTTCTTCAGTCAGAGGCCTTTTCTGATGCGGTGTAGGACTGACTGCTACTGCAGACCCTTCCACCCGCAACATCCATTAATATATTTCATCCGATCTTCTCCCAGCAAACACAAATAAATACACCGCTGACCTTTGACCTCACCTGCACTGATCTGATCAGAACCGAACCGGTGGAAAATCCACGCGGATTATTTATGACGGACTGAGCAGCAGAAACATTAAAAACACCGAGCCCATTATCGGACATCTTATGGGTCAGAGTTCGGCTCTGGTACCGGACCGGCTCGTTTAAAACCCCGAGAAAAGGCGCAGAGTCCGGCGGATAGCAGGTCCGATCAGAACCGGAACCAGGACCAGAACCAGAACCAGGACCAGCGACTGGAATTAAAAGTAAAAGCTACCTTCTCTGAGCCTCCTCACACGTGTTTTCCCAGCATGCACTCCGCTCCTTCCGCCTCTGACGCAGTACGGCGCGCAGAGAGGGACAAACAGCGCGAACAGCAGAACGTTCAGATCGGTGTTTTATGATCCAAATCATTTATACTTCAGAACAATAATCAGAAAATAAACGTTTTTATGTTTCTAAATGAAACTTTAATTAAAAGGTAAAAATAGTTTTAATTGCATTTAATTTAAAAGACCCAGTTATTATTAAACTGCGTGATAAAAACTTGATGATTCATTTTGTGTTTGGAGGAAAATATGAAGCAGTCACGTGGTTTTATTCTGTATGAATTCAGTCATATTTTATCTCTTTTATTCATTAAATGCTTCATGTTTATGTTCATGAGCCTAATCGCTCCAGGCCGCTGATCCAGTTCCTCCGCTTGGATCCGCCCGCCGGGTTTTCCGAGCGGCCGGAGGTCACCGGGGTCACTGCGGGCAGGAAGCCGCCATATTGGAGTTCTGACTGGAAGCGGGACCATGAGCTGCCGGGGGGTCCAGAAGCTCCTGCGTGGAGCCGGTTCTGGTCCGGCAGGGTGGACCCGGACCCCCGCGGCCTTCTACTGCTGCGGGCTCAGATCTGGACCCAGCAGGGCCCGGTCTGGACCCAGTTCCGGTTCTGGGTCAGGCAGCATGAACGTGTTCAACAGGGAGATGAAGAGGAGGCAGAAGAACTGGGCCGCGGTTCTGCTGGACGGGCAGCAGTACGACTACCTGAGAGAAGAGGTGAAACTGGGGTTCGGTTCGGGATTCAGGTTCTGATAATGGAGTTCAGTTTGGTACTGAAAATGATTTTAGTCATTAATTCATGTTTTCATTCCTCCTTAGTTCAGTAATAGAACCGGAAACCATCAGAACCAGAACCTCGGGGTTCTGGACTCCTCAGGTCTGGTTCTGGTTCCGAGCCGGTTCTGGTCTCATCTGGATCTTGTGTTCTGCAGGTCGGCAGTCGAGTGGCTGATCGGGTTTATGACATTGCCAGGTGAGTTCTGGTTCTGGTCCAGCAGGAACCATAAAACCAGTTAAATCTGACTGGTTTCCATCTGAGGTCCAGTCCGGCAGGTTCTGACCAGTTTGTCCTCTCCTCAGGACATTTCCCAGGGCTCTGGACCTGGGAGGAGGAAAGAGTTACATAGCAGAGCATCTGAGCCAGGTGAGGAAGAGGAGGAGGAAGAGGAGGAGACTCCTCCAGCCTGAATCTTGTAAACAGTTTTTCCTCCCTGATGTTCCAGGAAGTGGTGCAGGATTTGGTTCTGACTGACATCTCCCAGCAGGCTCTGGTGAGTTCTGACATCCCCGTGGACCCGGTTCGTCCCCGTGGACCCGGTTCGTCCCCGTGGACCCGGTTCGTCCCTGTGGACCCGGTCTGTCCCCGTGGACCCGGTTCGTCCCCGTGGACCCGGTTCGTCCCCGTGGACCCGGTCTGTCCCCGTGGACCCGGTTCGTCCCTGTGGACCCGGTTCTCTGTGTTGTGTTTCAGAAGCTGGGCCGGCGGTCGGAGGTTCCCACCCGGAGCGTCGTGGCTGATGAGGAGTTCCTGCCGTTCAGGGAGGAAAGTTTCCACCTGGTGGTGAGCAGCCTCAGGTGAGAACCAGCTTTACCTGCAGAGCGCGGCTTCCTGCAGCAGGGGGCGCTCAGCTCAGGGTCTGACCTCAGCAGGTTTCACATGAGATCGATCAGGGAACGGATCAATACGGAGCAAACAGGAAATCCTCCAGACCAGTAGGGGGAGTCAGACTGAAACACCAACTGTCCAGGAGAGGCAGAGGAAACATGCTGTCTTTTATCACAGAGCAGCAGCAGATATTGCTATCTACTCCAGACCCCCCCTAGTGGTGTGGAGGACTTCCTGTTTCTAAAGTTACACTGTAAAACAAGAACGGCGGAGGTTTGATTTGTTTAGCCTGTAACAGAGGAAAAACTGGGTGTTCCTTCTTTAAGCCTGTTTTTCTATATTCATATTTAGAAATGTCACGAGTTCATACTAAATGTATTTAATTCTGAGTTAAATATTTTAATAAATATTTAGCTTAGTAAGCTAAACGCTTAGCTAACTTCATATTTAATAAGCTAAATGTTTAGGTAATTATTAAGCTTATTAAATATGTAGTCAGTTTAGAAAATATTTCAGGTAATAAATATTCAGCTGCTAAACGTTGCTCTGTCTGAAGCGGCTCTGTTTCCTCTCAGCCTCCACTGGATCAACGACCTTCCCAGGGCGCTCAGCGAGGTACGCTCAGAGGTTCTGTGTGTGGTTCTGTTTGGGTCGGCTCCGCCCTCATGCTGCCGCTCCCTGCAGATCCATCGGGTCCTGAAGCCGGACGGCGTCTTCGTGGGCGCCATGGCGGGCGGCGACACGCTGTACGAGCTGCGCTGCTCGCTGCAGCTGGCCCAGACGGAGCGGGAGGGCGGCTTCTCGCCTCACGTGTCCCCCTACACCGCCGTCACCGACCTGGGGAACCTGCTGGGCCGGGCCCGCTTCAACATGCTCACCGTGGTGAGGTTCTGGTTCTGCTAGGCCCGATCCAGCAGCTGTTAGAGGTTCTGAGGGACTCATGTTGACTCGGTCCATTCAGTATTCCAGGTTTGGATTTAAATCAAAATGAGCTAAAATGCTAATTTCAGCTAAAAGTTGACATTAGCAGGATTGCTAACACTAGCATGTTGAGCTGTAGTAGCGTATTGCATATTGTATGCTAACAGCAGTGTGTAGCAGCAATGCTAAAATGATCCAAAAGGCTAATAATAGCCTAGTGCTAGCATTAGTTCTGGTTCTGGACGGTTTCTCTCCTTGCTGAAGTGTTGACCTCGTTGACCTCAGTGCACAGAGCAGGAAGTTTCTGTATGGACCAATAAAAGCTTCCACCGCTCAGCTGAGCCACGTTTCTTCCTTAAGCAGCAGACATTGACGCAGGCTGACCTTTGACCCCTCCTCCTCTGTGTTTCAGGACGTTGATGATGTTCAGGTTCATTATCCAGGAATCATGGAGCTCATGACGGACCTGCAAGGTACAGAGCTCAGAAATCAGTAACGTTTCCTGCAGAGGAGCCGACTCAGACGTGTCGCCCCCTGCAGGCATGGGGGAGAGTAACTGCGCGTGGAACAGGCGCGCCATGCTGCACCGCGATACCATGCTAGCAGCTGCAGCCATCTATAAAGGTGAGGAGACGCTCTCTGGACCAATCAAATCTCTGATGGAGGACAAGATGGGAACCTGAGATTCTAATCTGGATTATCAGGGAGCCATGATGGGAAGCTGAACAGCAGAAATCTGGTTTTGGTTTCAGAGGAACTCCGTTTGGACCCGGTTTTAACTGGACTTTATGAACTTCCTGTTATCATTTATGAATTAGCTTCCTGCTAATTCTGGACTGAATGTTTATAATGTGGGCAATATTATGTAAATTCTATGAATTTGTTAAAATGAGATTTAAATGACTGATTCTCGTTAAAACGTCACAAAGGTTCTGCAGAACCGGAGGATGAGTGAAGATTCTTTTTCTGAGGTTCTGATCCGAAAACAAAAACTGATCAGAATTTAAAGCAGAAAGTTTGGAGTCGTCCAGCTTTTAATCTCTGCATGCCTATAATCTACCGGATTGGATTAATCTGGACTGATCCTGGACCAGCGGGACGTTTCATCCTGTCCGTCTCATTTCAGAGATGTACGGAAACCCGGACGGGTCAGTTCCCGCCACCTTCCAGATCCTCTACATGATTGGCTGGAAGCCTCACGAGTCCCAGGTGAGAGCAGTCTGGCCCTTTAACAGCCAATCAGCTGCAGGAAAACAGGCCCCGCCCCTGAGCTGTGACTCTTCCCTGCTTGGGTTATATCTGTACGGAGGGCTGAACTTGCCAAAATTAAAATGGTTTGATGATGTAATAAATGTGGTAAATATTGAATCCAGAAAATAACTTTCTAAACTTAATTTATTATACAGGTTGACAAATATTTTTGTTTTACTAAATATTTCTTATTTCATTTACTTTTTCTTATTTTTTCTTATTCTGTATTAAATTAATATCAATTACATTGACTTTGATTTGATCATTCATTGATTTATGTTCTCCAGTATTTTCATTTTGCGTTTTCTTTATTTCAATTTTTCTCCATTTTACTTTTGATTACTTTATTTTTTCTTGTCCTGTTTCCTTTTGAATTTAAATGATTGGAAAAGAAAAGAGAACATGAATAAAATAAATACATTTGTAAATAAAATCAATGAGAAAAAAGAAGAAAAAATCTGTCAACGGAAAATAGTCTTACAGAATGACAAATTTAGGAAAAAGAATTATAATAAAAGGAAACTTAAAATAGTCATTAAATAAAATGGAAAATGGTAATGGTGTTTAATTAATGCTGCTGAAAATGATAAGTATTAGTGAATGCCACTGCATAGTCAAATAAGATGGAAAAGTTCTTCATTTTTATTTTTTGGAAGCAATATTTGGCACATGAATTACTTTTTCAAGCCATTTATTTATTTCTATATTCACAGTTTTGGCAGGATCTTCCTTCCGTAGATGAGTTAATAAAGAGCAGGTTTGGGAGCGTCCATAAAAACGGTTTTCTGCTTCCTGCAGGCCAAGCCGGCTCGCCGCGGCTCTGCCACCGTGTCCTTCAGAGATCTGGCCAAGGTCAGCCGACCCGGCGCCACCAACCCATCCTAGGGTCATGACCTCACCGGGTCAGGCGTCCAGCAGCAGGAGGTTCTGGTTCTGACTGTAAATGTTGTATAAAAATCTGCTTCTGGGAAATAAAGCGAGTAGTGAAGGAAACATGAAACTAGTGAGTGTGTTCTCTGATGAAGCTGCTGCCACACACACACACACACACACACACACACACACACACACACACACACACATTTGGCTAATCTTGACTCAACATCCAGATCTGCTCTGGATCCTTCAGCTGGTCTGAATATAACAGGATTAAATCTGATTATGATCTGCAGCAGAGTTTGGAGCCCAGATTAACGATCATTTCTGGATAAATTCACTCAGAAAGAGGAAAACATGTTGGACAGAAAATCTCTGAATTCTGGAGTTAAAATCCAGCAATAACCTTTGACCTTTGACCAACAGACCTGGAGCGCTCTACTTCCTGGAACGGAACCAAACTGTCTGGATGAAAACAGACCTGAAGTTCTGCTTCAAAACTGTTTCCATCACCTGGTTCTGATCAGAGCAGAACCTCCACTGTGGACCTAAAGGATCCATAACTTCTGCCTCGACCCGGACCGGAGTTACAACCACCGGACCGGAGTTACAACCACCGGACCGGAGTTACAACCACCGGACCGGAGTTACAACCACCGGACCGGAGTTACAACCACCGGACCGGACCATGAAAGTTCCAACAGTTCAAATGAACGGCTTGGTTCGTCAGGACAGAAAGTGAATGAACGTTCCTTCTCAGTTTTAGTTCTAGGAAGAACTAAAATCTGGACAGAATGTGGAGGCGAGCTGGGGTTAAAGGTCAAACTAGGCTGTTATTCGTTTGTTTTTGTTCCCTGTTATTTTAAAATAAATGTTTTAACAAAAAAGATTCAAATTACTAATTTAAAAACTATTAATAATCAGATTATTTATTGGTGTTTATGAAACAATGTTACATTACAGCCTGAGTTAAAAGCTGATATAAAAATAAATATCTGATTTTCTTCCATTTAAGAACTACAAAAATATAAAAAACAAAAACTTCCTTTTATTGTCATTGTGAAAGAAGCACAACGAAATACAAAATAATCAAAACATCTCAATAGATATAAAATGGTTTTAGAAGTTTTTCTGTCGCGCTGAGTCAGGATTTTCTGATCAATGATGCCAGATCGATATGGAAATGATCCATTTTAAAGTGTTTTCACTCAGGATCGTCTACAGTTATGACGTTAAGGTGACGTCAGATTAAATAGATTCATTGTCACGGACGTTAGATTTTCCGTATGAAGTGATATTTGACCTTTTGGTTTCAGTTTTATTTTATTTTGAAGAGGAATATTTAGACGGGTCACCTGACGCTTTGTTTCCGTCACGTGACCGCGTTGCCATGGCAGCGCCTCTTGTTGCTGCTCCCGCAGATCTGCGGGGTTTGAATCTGCAGCTGATCGGTGAAGGAAGATGGTGAGCAAATCTTTATTTTCAACAATAACTTGGAAGATATTGGCACTAAGGAGTGCTTTAAAGTTCTGTTAGCATGTTAGCTTAGCATCAGCAGCTAGTTCTGTTAGCATGTTAGCTTAGCATCAGCAGCTCTAACGCTGTGGATGTCTCCGGCTTTCCCACCTCCAGCCGCCGAAGAACAGAAACAAGAAGCCCGGGAAGGGGAAGGCCTCCGCGGCGGTGGACGCGCTGTCCACGGAGGACATGTCCAAGGACCAGGTGGGAGCCGCCGCGCTGCGCGGTGCTGGCGAGGCTAACTGCTGGCTGGTCGCTCTGCAGCGAACAGACTAAAACACTTCGGTCCGGTTCTGACCAATCCTGACCCGGTTCTGACCAATCCGGACCCGATTCAACCCGTCGGAACCAACATGAAGCAGATGGTTCCGATGTTAGAGAGGAGGAGGAACCGGGGATCGAACCACCGAACCCGGGATTAGTCCTGAAAGCGCGCGCAGCGCCATCTGCTGGACAGCAGGAGGAATTACAACAAAAATCTGGACATCTGATTGGTCAGAAAGAGGCGGAGGGTCTGACTTCAACTTCCTGTTCAGATCTGATGCTGCTGGTTTCAGTTTGTTCTTCAGATTTTCATCCACATCATTTTCACCTTAATTTAGGAAACATATTCCAAATGTGTTATTGTTTCTAACAGTTACGCCATTCTGTACTTTAGAGTGTTTATGTTGCAACAGCAGATTATAATCATTTTAATTACATATTTAAAATTTGTCTTTCAACTAATAGCAGTAAAGAATACGTTTGACACTTTATATTTATTTCAACGTTCAAGCATAATATGTTTGTAAGAGAAGTGATATTATTGGTATGTATGATTATCAAACCTGAGGAGGATGAAGTGAGGAGACATAGCAGACCGGCACCTGATATGAGCATCATCTGGTTCTGATCAGGCCCGTTTGACAGATTAAAATAACCTTTAAGCAGGAATCAAACATGTTTTCAGTGGCTCTGGATTGGACCAGCAGCCGGTCCGGTCCGGTGAGGTCCGGTCCGGTGAGGTCCGGTCATGTGCGGTCCGGCTGACAGAGTGTCCCCCTGCAGCTGGAAGAGCACGTGGTGCTGCGGGAGGAGCTGGACCGGGAGCGCGAGGAGCGGAGCTACTTCCAGCTGGAGCGCGATAAGATCCGCGGCTTGTGGGAAATCTCCCAGCGGCGGCTGGAGGAGGCGGAGGCGGAGCTGAGGGACAGCGTCCGGCAGAGGGACGAGACCGCGGAGCGCCACCGTGTGGAGATAACGGTGAGCTCTGTGGGAGCGTGACCTCTGACCCGCCTCTCGGACCAGATCCCTGATCTGTGTCGGGTTTTCAGGTCTACAAGCAGAAGCTGAAGCACGTCCTGTCTGAGCAGCACAACGCCGCCTGTGAGGTGAAGACGGACGCCGTGACGAGCCGCTCGCTGCAGCAGAAGCAGAGCACGGACGTGGAGCTGGACCTGCGCCGGCAGCTCCGGGATCTGCAGGCGACCAGCGAGCAGAAGACGATCCAGGAGCACGGCGCCGCCAAGGAGCTGCAGCTGGTGAGGAGAACACACAACGCTCTTCCTCTTCTCTTCCTCTCACCCTCCTCTCCCTCCTCAGAAGCACCAGGCGGAGCTGATGAGGCTCGGTAACGAGTACGAGCGGCAGATCCACGGTGAGCTCCTCTTCCTCGCCGTCCTTCCTCTTCCTCTGTCCTGCTTCATGCTGCCGGTCGGCTGTTTCCTCCCAGAGCTGGAAATGAGTTTCCACCAGAGGGCGCACTCCCTGATACAAGCGGAGGACAGGAAGCGACGTGCGGCCGTCAGCCAGGTGGAGGAGCGGATGAAGAGCCGCATGGAGTCGCTGATGGAGGAACATGACAGAGTCCGACGTAAAGGAGAGGAATACTTCTCCCAAATTCAGAGGAACCAACAGGAGGAGCTGGAGAGGTGGAAGGTAAGCAGGAAGCTCTGGAGTAAATCCCACTGGATCCTCTGGAGTAGATCCCACTGGATCCTCTGGAGTTTATCCCACTGGGTCCCCTGAGCCCTCCCTCTCTGCTCCAGGGCGAGCTGAAGAAGCTGCAGAACCAGAAGCTGCGGTGGGAGAAGAAGATCTCAGCAGCTGAGCAGGAGAACCAGCATCTGAAGACGACGCTGCAGGAGGTCCAGCAGAAGCTGCCGGAGCTGCACAGACGGCTACAGGAGCACCAGCACTCCAAGCAGAGGATGGAGGTAAGGGGGCGGAGCCAACACCTGGAAGCTGCTCAGCGCCGATGGTGACGATGATGGTGTGTGAGCAGGAGTACCGAGCTCAGCAGAAGCTGGTTGATCAGGAGCTCAGAGACCTGACGGTGGAACACGAGCTGCTGCTGCAGGCCTTCCAGAAGGTAAACCTCTCCCTCCCTCCTCACACTCCTCGCTCCTGCTCCTCCCTGCCGACCCCTCCAGGTGTTCCCCGCAGGTGCAGCAGGAGCGTGACGAGCTGCTGAGGAGGCAGACGCAGAGCATCCTGGACGTCCAGCAGAGGAGCGGCCTGAAGAAGATCCTGCTGCAGAGGAAGCTGGAGGCGCTGAGCCAGACTCTGGAGAAGAAGGAGGCGCAGCTGAGCGCCGCGCTGTCCGTCTGCAGCGTGGAGCCCACGGCGCGCAGCAGCGCCGCCTACAAGCTGCAGGTAAGAGGCCGGAGGGCCGCTCCGCTGGGCAGCACCAGAACTTCTGACCGGCAGTTAAACACCAGGAGGAGTTTAACTCAGGAGCAGCTGATTCATCCTGAAGGAAACCAGACGGTTGTTCAGTCAGCTGTATGAGATTTGACTTTCACTGGAGCAAAACCATGTTGAAGTATTTCTACTCTCAGTACTTCCTGTCTGCAGCAGGGCTTCTTCAGCTTCCTGTGAACTCAAAGTTAGAATCCGCCCTGCAGGAGAGGAGAAGGTCTGGCAGAAGAGAAATCTTCATCCTCCTCACTGAACTCATCATTCTGGTTTCTCTGGAATGTTGGAGGCACAGCAGCTAGGAGTTCGTTAGCTTAGCAACAACTGAGCCGATGACATCACAGAGTGTTTGTTAGCTTAGCAACAACTCAGCCGATGACATCACAGAGTGTTTGTTAGCTTAGCAACAACTCAGCCGATGACATCACAGAGTGTTTGTTAGCTTAGCAACTGAACTAATGACATCACAGAGTGTTTGTTAGCTTAGCAACTGAACTGATGACATCACAGAGTGTTTGTTAGCTTAGCAACAATTCAGCCGCTGACATCACAGAGTGTTTGTTAGCTTAGCAACAACTGAGCCGATGACATCACAGAGTGTTTGTTAGCTTAGCAACAACTGAGCCGATGACATCACAGTGTTTGTTAGCTTAGCAACAACTGAGCCGATGACATCACAGAGTGTTTGTTAGCTTAGCAACAATGAGCCGATGACATCACAGAGTGTTGTTAGCTTAGCAACAACTGAGCCGATGACATCACAGAGTTTTGTTAGCTTAGCAACAACTGAGCCGATGACATCACAGAGTGTTTGTTAGCTTAGCAACAACTGAGCCGATGACATCACAGTGTTTGTTAGCTTAGCAACAACTGAAGCGATGACATCACAGTGTTTGTTAGCTTAGCAACTCAGCCGATGAGATCACAGAG